CTCTAACATGGCTGACAATCCATCTCGACTTACAACCAGCCCACTACTGAAGATGGGTGCGAAGCAATGTGAAGTTTGCGTTGAGGAATGCTGGCGTGTTCTAGTGACCAGAGCTGAAAGTTGGGGAGAACAACAGGTCACTCGAGCACCCCAGTTTAAAAGTGTGCTGTGAAGTGAGCTGCATCGTCATCCTGTCAGATCAGATTCATTGCATTGCAGTTTCAGCTTCACATTTTGTCGCTTGCATGGTACTGCAGTTTGGCCAGCGTTTGCAAGACTGATAAGATAGCAGTCATGAAGTGAGAGCGGGTTATCAGGTGATGCAAGATCCGGATGCGTATCAGCTGGCTGGCTTAAGGATTGGAACGTTGTGACCATGTCTTCAATGACCTTGTGTTCAGTACATGTCAATTTTACAATGAAACTACAATTGCAGATTCATGACACTTTCTTTTTGTTTGGAGTGCATTCAACTTGCCCCGCCCTCTTGCCACCCTATTGGCAAGTTGTCTGCACTCCACTTGCTTGACGTCTTCCTCCACAACATTTTCCGGAAGTCACATGTCAAAACGACATGCCAAACCCTTGGCCTGAACAACAGGTCACTCGAGCACCCCAGTTTAAAAGTGTGCTGTGAAGTGAGCTGCATCGTCATCCTGTCAGATCAGATTCATTGCATTGCAGTTTCAGCTTCACATTTTGTCGCTTGCATGGTACTGCAGTTTGGCCAGCGTTTGCAAGACTGATAAATCGTGTTCTTTTTTCAAATCTCTCTCTCTCTTTTTTTTTTCTCTCTCTCTCTCTCTCTTTCTCTTGCTATCCCTCTCCCTTTCTCTTGCCATCCCTTTCCTCTTGTACACCCATTAGGACTTGACATACAGTACTTTTTCGCCAAGGTGATTGACATCCGCCAGCTGCCAGCCAGGTTCCCCAGCTGAAAGAGATGCTGTCGGATGTAGAGGTGCCAATGATCCTACTGGATGTGTGACACCCGAAGTTCCGGGCCCGAATCTGTCCCTCTCGTAGAACTTTGAAGCCCCACGGAAGATGATCACCACCGTGTTCATTGGATTTTTCTTCTTGGACATTTCTTGACCTGCACTTTCCATGCAAAATTCATTGAACAATTCTCCAGGACAAGGACGAGAAATTGCAGAAGCAGCTGAAGGAGGAGGTCCCTTTTTTTCAAGCCATTGTTGTTGGTTTGCTACCCAGAGAGCCATGGTCAACGTTTTGTATCACAGTTGCTGTTGATGCAATCCATGTGTTTTTGCTACGCGTATTTTGGCTAAGCATATAGGTTTTTCATACAAACACATTTGATTTTTGGGGGATGAAATTCATTTGTTTTCATAAGGGTTTCTCCAAAAACAGGGTGCTCGAAAATCCATTGGTTAATCCTCATATATCATCTTCCGTATTACCCCACTTTCCGCTTCTTCGATGCAGTTCTTCACGCTGTGAGTCGATTCCTGTGAGGCACGCCTACGGGCTGAAGCTGAAGCAAGGGTGCAGCAGCCAGAGCCTCGTGTCGCTGAGAAATTGACCATGTATGTATACGTATACATATACATATATATATATATATAAATATATATATATATTACATATTACATATTACATATTACATACTATATATTTTATAGTATAATATTTAATTTATTATATATGATACATTATATTACCGTGTCGAATGGTTACCTGTGTCACCCCTTGCCAGTGCCTAACGTGGCTTTCTGGCCCGATAGAAAAATCAAGAAAAATGCAGCACCCCGCGGCCAAAGCCAGCTCCAAACAAAGTGCTGTCTCTCTGTCTCTCTTCTGTCTGTCTGTCTGTCTGCCTGCCTGCCTGCCTGTCTGCCTCTGTCTCCGGAGCATTCTTCTCCGGCGCGCTCCCCCAGCATCCGGCTGGGGTCGGCGGATATATATATATATATACACATACCCTAAAGATTTTTCAAGAGAACTCACACTTGAGAAATTACCCATTGCAGTTCCTTTGTGAACGATATCATCACCAATGCGCGTGTGGGCCAGCTGTGAGTAATTACTTTGACAAGCAGACGGTGTTTCTCTTCATTTTAAGAGGTGCACATGTTGGGACGTCCGACAAAAATCATGTCCGAGAGTTTAGTTTTGAGGCACAACTCGGAAAAAACACGAGAGTTGGTGTTTCTCATTGAGTGGGTGAGCTATCAAGGAGCTAGGGACCCTGTTTGGTAGAGCATCTGGTGGCGCGAGGCAGCGAAGCCGCAGATGTTCGACATCAGCACAGATTCACATGATGAGTCCGAGGTGCTCACACTGGGGCAGTGACGAGTGAAAAAGTTTCAGATTTTTGTCATGTGCATCGGCATCTAGTGAGATTTGCGTTCTGCAAACTTCTTGAGGAGCTGGTTTTGCCGGAGATGCCCTCCGCTCCTCCCGAGAGTGACTACGGCGACGACAATGAGACCATGGAGTAGAGATACGAAAGTATCCCTTCGCTCCAGCTGGAGCGAAGGGATACTTTCGTATCTGCTTCTGGCTCCAGTGGATCTTCGTATGAGGCAGGGCAAGGATACAACCAGTGTAAGGGGACGAGAGGGTTTGCACTCCGCTCAATGATTTTCGATTTCCAATTTTTGTCTTCAGGAAAGGAAAACCAAAGGCCAACGAAAGGCCTTTGGATATTACAACCTCTGAAGGGAAATTATTAAAATATGGAATCTGACCACGGCAGAGGTTGGCTGCAGGTGATTTAACATGATTTTACCGTTCCTTGGAAGCGGATTCCTTTCAACGTTGAGGACCTGTCTTTGGTTCTTGCATGGTTGGCATTTCTCCTGGGGCAATTTCTCCACTTGAACAGCAATCAAAACCCCCCAAGACTAAATTAGCCAGAATCGTTTACTACAATACCTTCGCAGAAGCTGAAACTGAAGTCGCGGAAGCACCGCGGAAGGTCTCGCGGAAGTAAGTATACTCAGTCCCTTCGGGGAAGCTCCGCTGAAACGCTTGTGCATATTCAAAATCATGATAGGATGTGCAGAGAACATACCCCTGATGGATCGTCGAAGCTCCGTGGAAGTGCCAGCCATCGCACATCTCACCGCGGAAGCCAAAACCCAAGCCGCGGAAGCATGGCAGAATCTCTCGCGGAAGGGAATGTTGGAGCCCTGAGGTGTCATGTGCATCTTCGACGCCGGCGCACCGGCTTTTCGACTATGGTGGGCGAGCAACCCTGGAGCAATCACCCACTTGTTGACCTGCTGGATAGAACACAACAATTCATTGGACCCAAGGGGGCAAACGATAGTTCTCGGAGCTTCGCTGAATGTCTTCAACGATTTGGACTGGGGTGCATTGCGTCTCAAGCAAATGTTTGCTGCAGAAATCATTCGATTGGAAACTGAGAGCCACCACCCGAGTGCGCAAAACAAAATGTGTCTATAATTTTGCATCGGTTCCCGGAGATCCGATGCGCAGCAAGTGCCCCAGACACACGTGCTGGCGCGCTACGCAAGCCTCCTCCCATTTGGATTTAAAGCTGCCCCAGAAGCCTTCTTCGAAAGGATCTTGCAGCTGAGTGTGACTCATTGACCTGGGCCATGAAAAATTCCGCAAACCCTCACTTGACGGTGTTTTCCTTCTGTTTGTTGAGTGGACCTTTCGTGGAGATCAACAACCGGTCAGGCTAGTCTGGCCTCCTGTAGGCAATAACTGTGGTGGGCCAGCAACTGTGGAGCAATCGCCCACTTGCTGGATAGAATTTTGGATAGAACATACTTCATTGTCCCCGCTTTTGCATTGGGCCTAAAAACCGGAATTGCATGTCTGTGAGACGCTGGACCGGGGGGCGCTGCGTGTCCAGCAAATGTCTGCTGCAGAAGTCATACAATCGATAACTGAGAGCTGCATCCAGTATGTGCAACGGGCTGTGCCCAACCTTTTGAGCAAGTTCCAAGAGATCCGAAAACTTTGACAGCAATCCATCCAGGATTCCCTTTTGATTTGGAAGCTTCTTGCGTTGAAACCCAGATATGATATGGGCTGGCATTTCTTCTCCAAGCTGCTTATATGAGTGCAAAGGGCTGTTCCAGAGATCTGAGAGCTTCGCCCCATTGTGTTTTATTTTTGCGCATTGAATGCATCATGTGTGGGACTTGATGATGGTCGTGGTGGTGCTAACTGCGTTGATCTTGGAACCCTGAGGCAGCAAATGCCTGTTCGAAACACGGGCTATGAACTTATGGTGGGCTAGCAACCCTGGAGCAATGGCCATTTTTTTGGCCTGCTGGATACAACATAGTTCATTGTCCCGGCCTGCGGAAGTTCTAATGCTCTCAATTGCAAAGGGTGTCTTCGAGAATCTGGATGCCGAGCGTGGCAAGCAGACGTTTGCTTCAGAAGTCGTGCGATTGGAGTCTGAGAGCCGTGTGAAATTTGTACAAGAAGTCGATCCCCTTAAAAATTGAGGACCTCAGGTAAAGCTTCCAATGAGATCCAATGAGGGGTTTATGTAAGCTTTTCGGGCACGCCCCAAGTTTGTGTTGGGCCCCCTAGACCAGAGCAACATTGGTGACAACAGCTGACGACTTGCACTTGCAAAACATAAGAATCATTATAAGAGGCAATATTTCTCCGTTCAATACCTGAGAAAAAAATATGTCGGTGTTTTGATCTTTGAGAGCACCAGATTCCTTGAACAAGCTGTTACAGCTACCAAGCAAGGCCATGTAGAACTTTCACATACTGTAACATTTGACTTCTTCCATTTTGCCACTCAAATCACTTGAAGCAAACCAGCAAAACTAGAACCTCCTCATAGCGCCTGTGTTTTCATCTCTTTAGAAGTAAGCCACCGTAGCCAGCAAGACATGGAAAATCACCGCCTTGTGAAAGCTGCATTTATCATAATCATAATCAATTGGTCTTACATGGTCTCTGCTAGACCATTCAAACTCTCACACAGCAACTGCACCTTGGAGAACTGCTGGGATTTCCTGCCTTTGAACCCAATGGAAGCCCGGTGTGGACCCCAATGGCCCGAGGCGCCTGAGCCTCAAAAAATAACTCCAGCTCAGTTCAGTTTGTAACTTGGAAATCAAACAAATGAAATCAACACGTTGTGTGGATCTCCTGAGGTCAGAACGTTTTTGGAATTGGAACGTTTTGGCGCCTGGCGCCAAGTCGTAGTTTCTGAATCTTGGGTCGAGTGATTTCCAATTCAAAGAAACCCTGGATTCTGGATCTCCAAAGGTTTTCTCCGGGGCAGGCATTGCCGTTCACTAGTGGAGGCAGGCGCTGTTCGGAGTCGTTTCTTGCAGTCACAAGAGAACATGGAAAACGAGGAAAACTCTTTTGATTTACTTCCAGGCGTTGCAGCGTTGCAGAGGAAACATCACAATGATTTGATTCTCCCCACCAAGTCTCCATCTCTCCATTCCCCTCGCCCTCTCTCTAACCCGCGAAGGACACCTGCAGTCAAGCCCAACGGCCACCTGGTGCGTGCCCGAATGGGCCCAAAAGCCTGGGGCTCAAGAAAGTTGTGCTCCAGTTCCATTTGTGCAGACCTGGTATTTGTAAGTTGAATGAATCTCCTGAGGTCAGAACCTGTTTGGAACGTTTCGGCGCCTGACACCCAGTCGTAGTTTCTGAACCATTTCCAATTCAAAGGAACCCTGGATCTGCAAAGGTTTGCTCTGGGGGAGGCATGGCCTTTCATTAGTGGAGGCAGGCATTGTTCGAGCTCGCAGCCACAAGAAAGAACATGGAAAGCACGGAAAACTCGTTTGCTTGACGCAAGAACTTACTGCGACTCATGGCACAAAACGTTGCAGCGATTTTCTTTGAGCCAGTTTTCCGCTCGTATGGTGGTGAAGGACCAGTTGAAGCACTTCGACTGTCAAATGAAGAGCTGAAACGTCAGTTGGCACCCCAGGGCGGAAGGACACAAGTAATATTCTCCATGTTTGTTTTGTCCAAAAACACCCACCAAAATGGTCCAAATAAATTCCTCTTGTGGGCTTTTCGGTCTTTTGAATATCTACTCGTGCCGGTTTGGGTTTGGGGTCACCCTGTTGCTATGCAGCGAGGTGCGAAAACTTGGCTCACGACCTGCGAAATCTGTGGGTCAGAAACCAGGCACTGCCAGAAATTTGAAATGAAATCCGTAAGAGTAAAACCTGGACCAACACAAAAAGTTCCATGGTTCAAGACGCCCAAAAGTGCGATGCCATGCGTTGAACTACTTGTTGACCTTTAGCAAGGTCATCCGATCGGTGAATAGAGGTTGTGATATGGATTATGAGAACGAACATGATGGCGACCATGGCTTCAATGAAGGCTCCAACTCCTTCCAAGATTCGTTCGCCGGGGTTATGTATGCAGATCCTGACAGGAACTGGAGGAGGCGCTCTCCTCTCACAAGGCCCCTGAGATGTCTTGAGTTGGATTGGGAAGTCTGACAGTTGACTATAGCTTGTACTTTGACATTGGTTGATCCCAACAATTGTACTTTGACAAGGTTCATCCCCAAAAACCCATCAGGAAATGAACATTCGATATTCCTGGCGCGGTTTTGCTTCGTGCAAACTTGTTGATATCAACCAGATTCAGCATGTGAGACGGGTACATTCGAATGCAGAACTTGGTGCAAGGCCCAACAACAAGAATTGTGGGCCAGCACTCCCCTGAGTTGCAGATGCGGCCTAGTGCGGTGTTTCACTTGTACATGAACGATTCTGTAGACTTGACTGTATTTTGTATTTTCACAATATGATATCTCAATAAATTTGATTATAAAAGATGATTCACATACTTGAAGTGCGGATTTTCCAGCCTGCCGAGTACCAAAGGGCACTTCCCAGCTCTCAAGGCCAAGATCGAATCAAATATTTGGAAGAGCAACTGCAAGCTGCACAGGCGTCTCGGAGCGAGAAAGCACATGAAAACACGATCCACATATCACCATACATGGTTCAAGCTGAGTGCGACGCCGCAAAATGCATCGTTGTCAGTAAAGCAGATTAAATTCCGGCGCTTGTTACGTGGTTCCCTACGACGGGCTGGTGAACACAGGGGCATATATCGCTCGCAAGTGAATATTTGATATGTTTGGCAGTATTTTACACCCTGCAAACTTTACTATTTCAGTATGCAAGGTGGATGGATACATCCCAAAGCAAAACTTGGCACAAGGCCTAGAAACAAAAACTGGGAATCAACGTTCCTGAGCCACTAGAAGACCATTTTCAGGTTTTGCTGCTGTGGCAGGTTGACGAGGAGACGGAGCCAGACAGCACAGACGTTCCTACTGATGATTCCTCTGGTGATGAGGCTCCATGGATACTGATGAACAAGTGTGACATCAGATCTTTTTTCCGCCAAATCACAAGGGTGACACAGCAGCGTTTTTTTGCTATAGCAAAGACTAGCCAAGTGATGAGGCCATTTGTCTCGCATCATAGTGCAACTTGTTGATGCATTGTAGGCTACTGAGTCGGAAAGCTCCGACACACACGGCACGTCTGAGGCGCTTGCCATTTTATTTGGGCAGTCGAAGGGCTGAACGATCGTAGAATCAAACCTTTCTCCATCAAAGCATGAATTGACAGTTGCATCGCCAAGACATGCAGTTATCTACTGTAATACACATAACTCACATTAAAAAGTTACTCTTGTATGCTTTGCAGTGTTTGGAACACCTTTCCGACCTTCCGGTCACGAACGCACGGCTGGCATACGAACATGAATACAACCCTAAAGATTGCAAGGGTCTGCACAGGTGTTTCCAAATTTGCTAGGCACTGGTGAAGCTCCTTGAGGCCTCTTTCTTGACTTGTCGAATTCATGACAAATCCCCTGCATTACATAATTTTATTCTGTTTTCACGTGGTTCAGGTCTTCATACTCAGTTGCCGGAACGGCGTTGCGAAATCAAAGGACCTAGAGGCCAGGAAACAACTTAAAGGTTGCCATGTCACGGCAAAGTATTTTGACGGGAACACTTGCAACTAGAGGCCTCAATTTGCAATTGTACATGATTGTGGCAGGCTGTGTTTGATGCACCAGAAGCCCTGCATGAGGAGAAAGAACGCAGACATTCAATGTTCTTATAGGGATCTCGGCTTGAATCATGTTCGGCTTTGTGATGCATCCCAGGACCCTTCAGCATTCTCGGATCACGTTTCACCTTGTGGTGCCGAGAGCCAAAGGATTGAACAGAGGCTGTGGAATGGCGGCTTATGTACTTTGAAGCGCACCGTTAAAGATCAAACTGTTTGTTTTGTGAAAGCATTTGAAGTTTTAATGATGATTTGGAGTAGCGATGCGCATGATGCACTGTGCCCAAGGGTATGTTATTGTCACGGAGGCAAACTGACTCGTCGACAGCCCCAAAAGTTGCTGCCATACGGCTGACCCCGGCATTGCCTGAGGACTGCTGAACTAACCCTTGTCCAAAGGAAGTGGTACAAATCGGTACCAATGATTTATTTACTGCAAGCTAACTATCCTAGACTACTATCGTGGATATATTAAGAGGACATTGAACATGCAAACAAATCAAACAAATGCCACGTGTGCATCTCTCATGTTTGCGTTGTTCCGGAGAGATTTGTGCATATGAGAGACAGGATGTGACAGGTAAAGGACGGTGAATTTTCAGACAGACATGGGACTTGGACTGTGTCCCCAGACGCAAGGTGATACAACCATATATAGGGAAAAAAGATGAAAAAAGGGTATGCGCAGTTAATATGCAATCTTGATCAAAGGACCCAAAGATCGCAATGGTCAATGGTCTTCACAGGTTTGTGTCATGTATTGCGCAGTACGAAACAAGAGTGTGAAGAAAAAATGCATGACGAAGTCAGCACGCAGGTTGCAATCGCAAAAATCACCACTTCTTGCAAAACCTCACCAGAAAATGTACAATCGCAAAAGGTAGCAAAAGTATGCAAAAGTGATAGGTAAAGCGCGTGTCTTTCAACATCACATGCCAGTTACGGAAAGCAGGACAAAACCTGCCGTGTTGAAGAACAGTTGCCCATCGCTAGCAAGCCCAAACCTGAATGAAGTGTTGGCAAAACACTAAGCATGTGGACGATCAGCATCGAACAAACATCAGGAAAGTATAGGCACCTTCCAGCATATTGTTTTTTTAAATGATTTTTACCATTAAGAAGAAGCAAAACGAGGAACATTTGCCACCAGACGCAAGGTGATACAACTATGTAGGGAAAAAGGGTACCCGAAACACTTTTGTATGACCTATTCAGGACTTGCCGGAACCACCCTTGGCTCCCCTCGAAGAGGAAGATGACAAGGAAGAGGAAGATGACAAGGCCGAGCGACAGCAACATGATTTTTGAGTTTGATATTTTGTTTGGACTTGCATTTGTGGATGTGTCGAAGAGAAAGGCCCTGGCCTGGGATTGGGTGATATCAATTCCTAAACTTCCTAAACCTTCCCCAAGTCATCAGAACGCTACTTCCTGATGTGGCAGGTTGATGAGAAGGACACGCCGAAACAGCAAAGGCGGCTTGGCAGTTCGCAATCCTGTCCCAGCCAAGTGCAGTTGTCATACTGGACAACTTCGCTATTTTTTGCCGCCAGGCTTTCTATTGGTTCGCAAGACTCAGACAGATCGGACAGCACGAAGATTCCTAGTGACGATGGTTCGTTTGGCGATGAGGCTCCACGGGTGACGATGAACAAGTGCAACACCAAAGTCTTGTCATGTCGTTTTTTGGACAGTCAAGAGGTAAACCTGTCTGTCGCAGCTTTTTTTCCCTGCTGCAACAAAGATAGCCAAGTGAATGAGGTCATTTGTTTTGCATCATAGTAGGATTTTTTGACAGGCACCTTTCAAATTCCATTGCAACTTGTTGATGCATTTGACGTAGGCGACTGCGACGGAAAGCTCCGACATACAGGGCACATCTGAGGCGCTTGCCATTTTGTTTGCATGTTCTAGTGGCGCTGTCGAAGGGTTGAGTCGTCATACAATCAAACATTTCTCCGCCAAAGCATGAATCGACATTTACATCACAAAAACATGCGAAGACAAGGGTTTAGACACCTGGGGCAAGTTCTGGTTTTTGTGGTCTTTTAAACACCTTTCCCGTCACCAACGCACAGTTAACATACAAACTTGATCAAAGGACCCGAAGATCGCAATGGTCTTCACAGGTTTGTGTCATGCATTGCGCAATACGAAACAAGAACGCGAAGAGAAACAACATATGCCTGACGAACACTGAAGAGACTCTGGATGAGGGACGTTTTTTGGAGCAAAAACTGGGTAAACATGAATGTAGACACTTGACAGAAACAAAAACCAGCTCTGGGCCAGATTTGACACTTGACAGAAACAAAAACCCGGGACACTGTTTGCAGAGCCAGCATTTCGACGAACATCTACAGTCTTGGATTGCGAGCTTACGGCGGCCCGCTATTTCACACCCAGCCAGCCAGCCGGCCGGCCGGCCACAAACCAAGCCCCAGCTGGCCGGCCGGCCGGACGCCACAAACCAAGAACCAGCTATAGCCACCGTGGCGCCAGCTGAAGCCAAGCGACAGCCAGCCAGCCAGCCAGCCAGCCAGCCAGCGTGGCAGCCAGCCGGTCGGCCGGCCGGCCGGCGGGCCAAAAACCAAGCCCGGCGAATGAAATGAATGAATGCAATGAAAGAAACGACTGACATGAATACAATGAATGAAACAAATGAAATGAATGAAGCGGGCGACGCCTCGTTTGGACCCCCCCAAAGCCACTGGTTTGGACCCAAATGAAGCGAATGAAAACGAATGGAAGAAGTTCATTGAATGAAATGAATGAAACGAAAAAACGAACGAAACGAAACCAAGAAATGAAATGAACGAAAGGAATGACATGATTGAAAGGAATGAAATGACTGAAACGAATGAAAAGAATGAAAATGAATGAAACGAATGAAACAAATGAAAAGAACCAAACGAATGAAGCGAATGACATGAATGAAACGAATGAAGCGAATGCAACAAAAGAAATGAATTGGATGACTGAAATGAACGAAAGGAATGAAATGATTGAAATGACTGAATTGAATGAATTGAAAGAAATGAGCCAAATACATGAAATGAATGACATGAATGAAATGAAGAAAGCGAATGAACTGAATAAAACACACGAAACGAATGAAACAAATGAAAAGAAAGAATGAAACAAAAGAAACAAATGAAATGAATGAAATGACTCAAATGAACCAAAGGAATGAAATGAAAATGAAAAGACTGAAATGAATGAAATATCTGAAATGTCTCAAATGAATGAAACGAATGAAACAAATGAAACAAATGACATGAATGAAATGAAAGAAATGAACGACATGAAAGAAATGACATGAATGAAATGACTGAAAGGAATGAAACGAATGAAAGGAATGAAATGATTGAAAGGCCTGAAATGAATGAAATGAATGAAATCACTGAAATGAATGAAATGACTGAAATGAATGAAATGAATGAAAGGAATGAAATGACTGAAACGAATGAAAAAATGCAATGAATGAAACGCATCGAGCGAACGAAACAAATAAAGTCGAAAGAAATGAATGAAATAAACGAGATGAATGGAATTAACGAAAGGATTGAAATGACTGAAATGAGTGAAATAAAAGAAACAAATGAGGGGAATGAAACGAATGACGTGAATGAAATGAATGAAACGGATGAACCGCAGAAATGAAACAAATGAATGGAACAAATGAAGGGAATGAAACGAATGAAACGAATGACACGAATGAAATGAATGAAATGCATGAAATGAATGAAACGAATGAAATGAATCACATGAATGAAACGGATAAAACAAATGAAATGAAATGAATGAAATGAATGAAAGGATGAAATGAATGAAGGAAATCAAGTGACTGAAATGAATGAAACACATGAACGAAATAAAGCGAATGAAACGAATGACATGAAGGAAATGAATGAAATAAATGAATGAATGAAGCGAATGAAATGAATGAAACAAATGAAATGAAACAAATGAATAAAATGAATGCAATGAATGACATAGATGAAACGAATGAAGCGAATGAAATGAATGAAACGCATGAAATGAACGAAATGAACGAAATGAATGAAATTCATGAAACGCATGAAATGAGTGAGATGAATGAAACGAATGAACCAAATAAAATGAATGAAATGAAATGAATGAAGCGAATAAAAATAACTCAAATGAATGAAATGGATGAAAAGAATGAAGCGAATAAAAGCAATGAAATGAATGAAATGAACCAAATTAATGACCTGAATGAATGAACGAAATGAATGAAATGATTGAAATGACCGAAATGACTGAAATGGCTGAAATGAAATGAAATCAAACGAAATGAAATGAAATGAATGAAATGAATGAAACGACTTGAAACGAAAGAAGTTTATGAAATGATAATAAAGAAAAGAGATGACTCAAATGAAATGAAATGCAATGAAATGAGATGACATCACATGAAATGAAAAAAACGAATGAAACACATGCAATGAATGCATTAACGAAATGAACGTTATGAATGAAATACATGAAATGCATGAAATGAATGAAAGGAATGAAACGCATTGAATGAATGAAATGAATGAAATGAACGAAATGAACGAAATGAATGAGATGAATGAAACGAATGAAACGAATGAAATAAACGAAACGATTGAAAGGAATGAAACGAATGACATGAATGAAATGAGTGAAGTGCATGAAACGAATGAAACGAACGAAATGAAACAAGTGAATGACATGAATGAAACGAACGAAATGAATGAAATGAACGACATGATGAAGTGAATGAAAGAAATGAAAGACATGAAATGACTAAAATGAGTGAAATGCATGAAACAAATGAACGGAATGAAAGGAATGAGACGAATGACATGAAGGAAATGAAGGAAATGAGCGAACTAAATGAAATGAATGAAACGAATGAAATGAAACAAATGAATGAAATGAATGAAACGATGAAAGGAGTCAAATGAATGGAATGATACACAGGAATGAAATGAATGAAATGAATGACACGGATGGAATGAATGAAATGAATGAAGCGAATGAAAACAATGAAACGAATGTAACAAATGAAACAAATGAAACGAATGAAATGAATGAAACGAATGAAATGAACGAAATGAGCGAAATGAATGAAATGAATGAAACACATGCAATGAGTGAAATTAATGAAACGAATGAACCGAACAAAATGAATGACATGAAATGAATGAAGCGGATTTTTTGAAATGAATGAAATTCATGAAACGAATGAAGCGGATACAAGCATTGAAATGAACGAAATGAATGACATGAACGAAATAAATGAAATGAATGAAATGATTGAAATGACCGAAATGACTGACGTGACTGAAATGGCTGAAATGAAATCAAATGAAATGAAATGAGTGACATGAATGCAACGGTTGAAATGAATAAAATGAACGAAATGAACGAAATGTTTCAAATGACATGAAATGCAATGAAATGACATGACATGACATGAAATGAATGCAGCGAATGAACCAAGTGAAACGAATGAAATGAATGAATTGAACGAAATCAACGACATGAATGAAAGGAATGAAACGCATGAAATGAATGAAACGAATGAAACGCAAAAAATAAATGAAATGATCGAGATGAACGAAATGAATGAAATGAATGAAACGAATGAAACGAATGAAATGAATGAAACGAATAAAACGAATGACATGAATGAAATGAATGACATGAATGACATGGATCAAATGATTGAAATGACTGCAATGAATGAAATAACTGAAATGAATGAAATCAAAGACCAAACCCGCGGACCACACTTTGTGCAAGCCTGCTAAATCGAAACGCATGTCAAGATTTCACAAGAGCCACTTCAACACTTCATACGGAAATCTACATGAAAAATGCCCAGAACGCGGACACACACTTTGTGCAAGCCTGCGCAGTCGAAACGCATGTCAAGATTTTATACGCGACGCTTGATACGAAATTTTACAGGTAACAGGCGGCAGAAGAGAGTGACCACCCTGATCAAGCACCAACCTTCGCATCGACCGTCAGAACCCCTCAGTGTAGACACACTGTCTGGGGAAGAATGTTTTTACATTCTAGCTGCCAAATAAATTCCGACCTTCAATCGAACATTCTATCTAACACTAACATATACTAGCATATTTCCTCTACCAAGTAGCTAGGCCCACCAGCCGAGCCAGCGTGCCAGCCAGCCAACTAGCCAGGCAGCCAGCCAGCCGGCCGGCCGGCCAAAACCCTTAGCCAATTGGAGGTACAGCCAGCCATCAGCCGGCCGGCCGGCTGGCCGGCCAAGACCTTAGCCAATTGAAGGCACAGCCAGACAGCCAGCCAGCCAGCCAGCCAGCCAACGAAGCAGCCGGCCAGCCAAAAACTACGCCAATGCAAAGGTATCCAGGCAGCCGGCCGGCCGGCCGGCCAAAACCTAAACTGAGTCCAGCCGGCCGGCCGGCCGGACGTAGCTCATACACACGCCTAGCCGGCTGGCCGGCCGGAATCAACACAGACTGGCCGGCCGGCCGGGCAAGAAATAGCAGGCCGAGTTCCCCGCGCAGTCCTTGGTCTACAGTACTGTATATCGATTGTAGATCGACAAAAACTAAAACCCAGACATGAGAGAAGTTGCAACCAACAATAGTGAAGGCCACAGATGAATATCTTGCGAAAACTGGAAGAGGTTGGCAAAAAGCACAATGTTGATGAACAGTTGATCATCAATTCGAACCAACACCAGGAAAACATCAGGAGAAACCAGCCAGCGTGTCCATGATTCTACCACTAAGAACAAGACAAGCAAATCCAAGAAATTTTGTGCCTACAGGTATCGACGTATATAACGTGACAGACACAACTAAGGGAAGAAGGGAAGCGAGAACTAAACTCTTTTGCAACCTGCCCAAGACTTGCCTGAACCATCCTCGGGTGACCCAAAGGAGGAAAATGACAAGGCCGAGCCATATCAGCATGAGTTTTGAACTTGTGTTTTGGTGTCTGCCTAAGAATGACTGCTACAATCCGTAGTAAAATCCGGACTTGGCGGCCCAAAGGCGGTATACGGTATACTATACTAATCTGTACTACCTGGTTTGTTGGAAAATTTTAGGACCCCGTATGGCGGGGAACCTGTATAAACCAACCAGTGTAAAGGGATGAGAGAGGGTTTGAACATGTTTGAACTTGCCATTTCACATTTTTGTCGTCTAGAAACCACATCTAATGGAGGTCAACGAAAGGCCTTTGGATGTTGCAATCATCCCTTCCTCCTAATACTAACCCCCCCTCCCCTATTAATAAATACCTCAGGTAGTTTTTAGTATTAGGGGGGTATTTATTATTAGGGAACCCTACTAATAGAATAAAAACCTTGATAAGAAAAGCTATTTTTTCCGATTTCAAAATCAATTCAATTTCTTTATATAACGCGATTAAAATATTGCCAAAAATTGGATTTCGAAGCGGACGCTATTAATAAAATTAAACGCTTAATAATAAAAACTAGTTTGTTCGATTTCAAAATCAATTAAATTTCCTAATATAACGCGATTAAAATACTGCCAAAAATTGGATTTCGAAGCGGACCCTATTAATAAAACTAAACCCTGAATCATAAAGACTAGTTTGTTCGATTTCAAAATCAATGAAATCTCCTTATATAACGCGATTAAAATATTGCTAGACCCTATTAATAAAATTAAAACCTTAATAAGAACAGAAGAACTATTTTTTCCGATTTCAAAATCAATTCAATTTCCTTATTTAACGCGATTATAATATTGCCAGATCCTATTAATAAAATTAAAACATTAATAAGAAGAATTATTTTTCCGATTTCAAAATCAATACAATTTCTTTATATAACGCGATTCAAATATTGCCAAAAATTGGATTTCGAAGCGGACCCTATTAATAAAATTAAACCCTTAATAATAAAACCTAGTTTGTTCGATTTCAAAATTCCTAATATAACGCGATTAAAATACTGCCAAAAATTGGATTTCGAAGCGGACCCTATTAATAAATTTGAAGCTCTAATATAAAAAACTAAAAAAAATCGGACGGACACGGACCCTAATAATAAACACCCCGGGGTTAACTAGTTTTTATTATTAGGGGTCAAAACCCACAAATGGTAGCTTTATTTTAATTTGTTTTTGAAAGGGATCAATTAAAAGTCAAATTGGCCAATCTGAAGTTTTCTGAAATTGGAGATGGACGCCTGTTTTTAGTATTTGGGGGACGTTTAGTAATAGGAGGAAGGGATCATTACAACCTCTGAAGGGAAAAATCAATATGGAATTCGTCCAGTCCACAGGTTGGCTGCAGGTACTGTGGCCAATTTTTTCTGTGATGTTGGAAAAACTGTATTTGCTAAAAGGGTGAGGGCCTGGCTTTTCTCTTGATACAAATGGCATTTTTTCTATGGTTGGCATCGCATTTCTGACAGTTTTCTTCATTTGAAGTTGTTTTGAACATGGCATCCACAACTTGCAGACCTTGCTGAGCGGTTTTTCAGCTACACAAAAGACATTTTGGGGGATTCCAGCCCAGAGTACCCAATTTTCTGGAAGCCACATCACCTGAGGCAGAGACGAGGGCATTGCAGGAGTCCATGGATTTCGTGGAGAAGGCATGGACATTGCTAGTTGATCAATGTAGAGGCTGTCGTTTTTGGCTGAAGGGCCGTTGGTCTATGGCCTTCAAAGATGAAAAGATTCATCACAGCAGAATCAGAATATGTCTTTTTGACAGTGCACACCAGCCGGATGGAATTTTAATCTTGGTAGGCACCAAAGTCTCAATGGAAGCTTCCCGCATCCGTACTGCGGCTCACTGCAAGACTAGGTGTAGAGGCTCAATCGGATGAGATTTGTTTGCCGAGAATACTTTGCAGAAATCTGCTGCAGATCGTGTGGACATTTGCGTGGCGTCTTGCATCGTTTTCTTGCTTGTTTCAGCCCTTGTTTCAAAATGTTTCAAAGTCTGCACCTGTCATGCTCCCTCGTTTCATTGAACATGATTTTACCCCTTTTGATCCTGTTGGTGAGATCTCCTTGCTCGGGCCCTCACCACATCCTGCGAGGCAGAGACAAGCACGAAAGTTCAGGAAGTAAGGCATGATGCAAGCCGTCTAGCGAGTTTGATCGGATATTTGCTTCATGTTTTTATCAAGAATAGGTTTGGTAGTTTTATGCCTGCAGACCGAAAACCGTGCTCGTAAAACGCACGTTTTTGACAAACGCAATTTCGGAGCCTATGTTGGGGTGGGGTGGGTTGGGGGGGCATGTTAACGTTCCTTGTACCTCGTACATTATATGTTGCTACTGTAAAAACTCCTGCAGTAAAACCATGTATTGTATATATCATCGTACCTACCATGCAGCGTTGGTTCAAAACAGGATTGACCGCTTAACGGTTTAGTGTGTTTTAGTCCCATTGTTGGCTGACCTGGGAATATACAGGTTATCAGCCGTAGTCTCACTACTTTGCTATGGGGACCCCAACTGACCTTCCTCTCGCCGTTCCAGGGTCAGGTCCATCGACTGTCGCCGTGCCCAATGTGGCCGGAGGCGACTCCGTGCCGATGGACGAGGAAACAATGTTCCAACCTGTTGTAGCGTACTTTACATTCATACAGAACAACATGTCCCAAATCACAAGTGGGAACACCTTGCAAGTCATGAGGGAAGCTGAACAAAGGCACCTTCAGATAATGCATGGAGTAGTTGACTCAATCCGAAGTGAATGGTCAAGTAGACTCCTAATGCAAGAGCAGGAGTTTGAACAAAGGTTGCAGGATGTAGAGAACAAAGTTGGAGAAGTCAACGAGGAAAGGAAGAGAGGAGATGAGCTAGAGGTCAGGTTAAACCAGGCTCATGCATCGCATGACAAAAGGGTAGAGGAGTTCAAGGCAGAGGCAAACTCAAAGCATGACCAAAAGATTGCAGAAGAAAGGCAACGTATCACTAGTGAATTCGAAGCCTCTTATGCACAAACGGTTGAACATGCAAAGAGTGCCATAGCTGCCACGAAAAAGCAATATGAAGATCAAGCTGCAATTGAACAGGCCAGGTTTATTAGTCTGAAAACAGAGTTTGAAAACAATAAAAAGGACATGGCCGAAAAGATCAATGAAGCAGCGGCACAAAACCTCAGCCTTCAGGACCAAATCGATGACCTTCAGGAGCAGTTGAAGCATGTTGCCAAAGCGCAACAAACATCTGTTCCGAAAGCATCCGTCCAGAAAGCCGAGCCAGCCACCATCGCTGGTGTGCCTCACTTCAGCATTGCCACTCCTAGAGCACCCGATGCGCAAGCTGCCAGAGGTAGTGATGAGCCAGTCTTAGAGTTGAAGACACCTGCTGTGTTGGCCCAAGAGGCAAAAGCTAAGTTGGATGAGCTGCTCAAAGAAGGCACTCCCCAACAGAAACCGGCTGTCGGCGACGACAAGCCCCATCTGCCGACACATTCGGGGTTTATGACCCCCACAGAAGCTATCAAAACTCCCCCAAATGATTCCCCAAAGAGCGTAACCAAGCAACAGCAAGTGATGGGTCCAACGGAACTTATTGAATTGGTGAAAGCCTTAACCCAAAGGGAAGAAAAGGATAAGCCAAAGACTATGGAAGCCGAGATCATCAAGCTGAACAACATGCCCGCTCCGGAATCGTACAGGACTTGGAAAAACCACGTCAGGGATGAGGTCAAGAGTTGCTCAGATCGTCCAGATGAAGCATGGAGCTGGCTCAACGAGGTGTACGATCAGGAGTGCACCAGAGAGGAGCTGGAGAAGAAGCTTCAAGATCCTGGGAAGTTCCTCACGCTGGATACGATGTTATCAGCAGCGCTCACGCGCTCAGCCGGAGGTGACCTCGCAACTAGGATACTGAACTTTAAAGAGCAGCAATCCCGAAAAGGCGTCCAGGTCAGGGGAAGGTATGTTCTGCTCATGTTCGAGGACTACTTCAAGACATCAGAAGAAGCAGGTAGTCTGTACAGAGTAGAAGATCTTTTGGGCGTCGTCAAGGTAGGTGATACGGTCCAGGATCTTAGAAGGTTCATCAACAAATGGGATGCTACCTTAGCAGGCATGGCAATCACCCCCGATGATGCTGTGTTGAGGGACATCTTGTTGAGACAGATCCGACCTAGTCAGTTGCTGAAGTACGACATCGAGGTGTTCGACCGTGCCCATGAGAAGTCACATGAGAAGTCTTACGGATTCCTGCACCAGTCCATGAAGAACTTGATCGACAGAGAACGGTTGAGGGAGAACAGGAACCGCATCGCGGAGAAGAACAAGGCTGGTGGACCGAAAGACACAAAAGCTGCACCCGCCAAAGGCGATGGTCGCGGTGGTAGAAAGGGCTCTCCTAGTCGTGGTAGATCACAGGAACGTAGTAAGGGTGATAAGATTTGCTACAAGTTCCAAAAGGGTCAATGCGATAAGGGGAAGAAATGTCCATTCAAGCATGTGAAGGAGGACAAGTCCCGAACACAATCACCCAGAAGATCCAAAACACGTTCACCATCAAGGGGCAATAAAGATAGTAAGGGTAAGAAGATGTCCAAGGAAGAGATGGCAAAGACCCCATGTATCTATCATGCCCAGGGTAAGTGTAAACGCGGTGACAAATGTTTTTATAAACATGATGACAAAGCTGCTGCCGCCACCAAAGACACCAAAAGGGCCAATTCACCTGCTCCCAAGAAGAAGAACAAGGAGTCCAATGCTGCCCCATGCCTGATCCAAAAGTTCGCTTGCATAGCCAGAAAACAGCCGAAGGCAACTTCGAGCTCTGATCAGAATGGTGTCAGCATGAAGCGTCTCAGATTCCGAAAGGTTCCACAGGTGATCGAGGTGCAGGCAGTCGGTCGTCAAGTCCCCGTCAAACATCGTCCAAGAGAGTTCACTAAGGTGTACAAGACAGCCGAAGACGTTCCTGTTTCTTCTAAGGTCGAACAACATGAAGCTCAGGTACGTGCCAGACAGCTCCACGAAACTGTGAAGCTCCATGATTCGGATGTCGCACCAAGTTGTGGGTTTTGTTGTTGGAATGAGGACACATGTGACATCACCTGCAAAGAGTGCAGATTCGTCAGCGGTCCCAAAGCTCTTAGGGAGATAGGTCGTTTTCCGTCCATTGCCACGGCTGCGCCAAAGGCCGGCGTCAGTTGGCTTGTCGATTCAGGAAGTGAGTCCGATCTCGTTTCTAAGGGCATGCTTAGGGATGTCAGCGCCAAGAACTGCCGTGCAGCCAAGCATCCGATTTCCTTAGTTGCAGCCAACGGTTCAACTGAGGCTAGTGAGGTTGCCGATGTCAAGTTGTCCGCATTGCCAGATCCTGTGCATCCGTATGTACTCGATCACACCCCAGCCGTGCTCTCTGTAGGAACTAGATGTGTAGATCAGGGTTACAGTTTTGTATGGCCTGCCAATGGCAAACCGATCCTAGTTCGTCCTGATGACAAAGTTGTCCAACTCAAGATCGAAGGTCATGTCCCAGTTTTGGATGATAGCTGCAAGGTCTACCCCAAAGATCAATTTCAGAAGGACAAACACCTTAGGAAGTTGTTTGCAATGCCGACCTCGCAGTCGAGCTCAAAAGCCAAACGGGACGAAGCCCAAGATGAAGAGCAGTTGGACGAGCTGGTTGAGGATGATGCTCAGCAGGAGTACATCCGAAGCCGCAAGACAGAGGATCTGTTGGCCGAAGCTGCAAGTACCCAACATCAGTACACGCATTTCCCCAAGAACCCATTTTGCAGAACTTGCCAAAGAGCAAGAATGATGGCTCCACAGGCAAGGAAGAAAGGTGGTCAGAAGAGAATCGAAACCGAAGTGTTTGGCGACCACGTCATTGGTGATCATGTTATCATCAAGAAGAATGTAGAAGAGGGTTTCACGGGGGAGCAAGTAGCATTGGTGTTGAAAGATCTGCACACCCAATATCGGTATGTATGCCCAAGCCAATCCAAGGATTCACAAAGTTGCGTTGATGGTTTGAATCACTTTATTGGATCAAAGGATGATGTTCAAGTAGTGTATACTGACAATTTCCCATAATTGATCAGGGCCATCAAGGACTTGGGTTACCGACATCAAACTTCAATTGAATATGTAGATTCATCAAAGTCTTTTGCTGAGCGCGAAGTTCGTCAGATGTTGGAAGGTGCCCGAAGCAACTTGTTGCAGTCAGGACTTCCGTTGAAAATGTGGCCTTTGGCCATGCAGCATCATGCGACCGCGATCAATGCAAGCCCCCAGCTTGACGGCAGTGAATCTCCGTGGCAACTCAGGTTTGGTGAAGAGTTCCCTGCAATGCACATCCCATTTGGTGCCCAGGTGTTGTTCTGGAATAATCCCAAAAGGGCAGATAACACAGCAGGTAAGCTTTCCCCAACATCAAATGAAGGAATTTTCCTTGGGTATCACATCCAACCAGGTCATGATTGGAAGGGTGAGTACTTAGTTGCCAAGTTAGAAGCTGCAGATTATCATGTCAATTGGGGTGCACTGACAATCCAAAGAACGAAAAGGTTGGAATTGCCATTTGAAGGTTTCATCTTTCCTTTGAAAGCACTGATTGACCAGAAGGCACCCAAAGCCGACCGCCTTGAGGATCAAGTGATTCCGCAGACTCCCAAAGCTGTGCCTCTTGAGTCCAGTTTGCATCCGCCACAAGATGAGTATGAATACGAGCCAGGGACGCCTCTACCAGCCGACAGTGATGTCGAGCCCGATGCACCCGAAGAGCCTGTATTCCCAGATCTCAAATTGACCCCCAAAGGTGAAATAATTCCAGATGGTTTTCATTGGGATGGTCACCGGATTGTACGTAACTATAAAGGTTCAAAGCGTCCGGAAGGGATTGACTCAGAGCTGTGGAAGATGTTAGGGCCCCAAGAGCGAAAGGCAATCATTGAGGAGGAAGCCAAGGCAAAAGCCAAAGCACAGGAGGAAAAGCCAGCACCATCATCTGGCAGCAAGGGCAAAAAGAAGAAAGCTTCGACAGCCCGGCTTGAGGCAACTCAATGCCCTCCTGCAAAAGCTAGGCTTGTAGGCGACACTTGGGAAATTATTCCAGCCGTTTCCCAAAAGTTCTCCGTGCCGG